CTGGAGATGAGTCTCACAGACTTTCCTGCCTGGACTGGCTTCCAACTGTGATGCTCAGATCTCAGCCTCCTAGGTGTGAGCCACCATTGACCAGCTAAAGTATTCTAACATTTATTATAAAATTAGAATTGTAAGACCTAGGGGTTGGACAAATAGGGCTATAAACTATCAAGCTATTACACTGTTTCTGTAGCACAGAAAATGAAATGAAAATGAATTATGAGTATAACCCATTCAGCCAGAGTGTAGCTCGATTTGTTCCTAGGTAGTCTCACTACCTAGTAGTGGATGAGATAACCCAAAGGACAAATGGTGCACTCTTACCCCTAACTTAAACACATATACACCTACACTCTATCAGGGAAAATAGCTCCCAATCATACCCAATTTTCAAAGAATGCAAAGGTTTGTAAGACGAATGTCTATCCACAGAGGGTTATCAGATTATCATCTAGTCTTTTGCAAAAAAGTAATTTAGCCAGATATGGTGACACATGTCTATTATCTCAACACTTAGGAGTGTGAGGCAGGAGAATATTAAGTTTGAGACCAGATATTGTCGCAAAAACAAAACAAAACCTAGATTCCTAATTATATACAGTACTTTCCTCTTCAAGAAAAATTTCAACCTTCTTGTTATAAATTGTAAAATAACTGCTTGTAACCATATATTAATGAAGATCAAGAGTAAACAAAAACCACAGCTAGTAATTTTATAAATATTTTCATTACTAGAAGTTCTATTATATCCTTGTCAAAACTGCCTTGTGGAATTTTTGGACAATGACTACTATTTCTCACCTTCAGTTTCTTCTTGTATATCTTTCATCTTCTCAACCACATTTTCATCTATCTAGTAAGTTCAGTTGGTAGAATTTCTTAGAGGTTTAGTCCTGCTTCTTATTATGTCTACTGACAGATTCTTAAGTGAATGTTTCCATTCACATTATTGTGAGCTCTAGATAAGAGGGACTTTATCTTGGAAACTGGTGTGGCTTGGATTACAAGTTACATCCTGTCAAAATGGCTTCAGTCTGGTAGCCCAGGAAGATCATCAGTATGGGACCATTTTACATCTACCTAGGGTTCTCACAAAAAGCAAGTGTACATTTGAAGCACAAATAAATGTGTCTATTACGTATTCTTTCCATATGCTGATGCCCAAGCCAGACTTTGCCCCTGAACTTGTATTTCCTTAATTAACTGAACATCTTCCTTTGAATGCCTAATAAGCATCTCAGATTTTACCACATGGAACTAAACCCAAACCTAATTCTGTTCCCAATGTCAGCTATTTCAACATATCCTTCTTTCCAGCTCAGGCCCAGTGGTACTTATGGCCTTGGTTCTGACTCAGTGTTCTCTGTGGTGCTGACATTCAATAACTGACCTTTCCTGAATTTAAATCCAATTGACACTTAAAGGAGTCTTAGATAACATTATATCAAGTAGCGACAAGAATTGTTACTCCCTCTGCTTAGATGACCATGTTGATTAGATGGCCTCAGTGTAAGCTTTTCAACTAGCAACAGGCCAAGGAAACTACTTACATTGCTTACAGTCAACTCTGGCTTGATATTAGATACTTTAAGTACAATGCTCAAGGAAAGTATGCAGAAACTACTTCCTACTAAATAACCAAGAGAGTAGATTTATCTTGGCTTTAGAATAAAACCTTCACACACTTGATAAACTGTACATTAGTATTCCAGATCCTTCTTGTCTCACACCCACAGTTCCCTCAAAGCAGCCAAACGCCTATTGTTGCCAAAGTGTGTCTCATGACATTTTCCTTCCAAGACTTTTTTCATTGGGTTGACGTTGATATTCTCTGGGATGTCTCTTCTTTTCTTACCTTTTTTGTTTGATTCTTTTTTGTTCTGGTAGTAGGGGAGTTTGAACTCAGGGCTTTATGGCTTGCTAGCTAAGCACTCTACCACTTGAGCTATACTGCCAGTCCATTTGTTTAATTTTTCTAACGGGAGTTTATTCATCAAGAATCAGCTCAAATATTCCTCTTCTGCAAAACCTCCCAGGATGCTTGTCTCCTTTCCTTATTTTGGCTTATCCTCCCCTCTGCCTATACATTTACCAACCAATAGCTTACAGTGTCACCAGAGCTGTTCCAATTAGTATGCTAGTCAAAACAGGAAAAAGAAACATATTAACACACTCAGACACACAAGGGAAGAAGAACTTAGTAATGCTTCCAATCAAACAAAAACATCCAGGACCAGTCACAGCTTTTAATTAACAGTGCCAGCTAATGAGATACTTCAATCACTTCATTACCATGCACTAAAATTCACAGAGGAAAGGCAGGCAAAAAAAGGGCTTGAAGCTTTCTATATTACTAGTTATCAAAATATTTCCTGGGTTTTTTTTGTTTGCTTGTTTTACCATTGAAACTTGTACTCTCAGTTCTTGATGTATATTTCTTGATTTAGTTATTATCCTTACAAGCCAGCCTAGCTTTTACTCCAGAAAGTTTGTTGTTTGTTTGTTTTTATAGCAGCCTTGCTTTCTGCAACAAGTTATTCCAAACTAATATGTATATTTCCTTCTTGGAGGAAGCTATTCTCCAAGGAATCTTTATTTGCTTGAGTGGGAATTAGTATTTAGGAACTAACATCTGGATATTGAATACACCCTGCTACTAGGTTTTTTCTAGACACTACCATCACAAGGTCTTTCCTTAATCCTATTTTGCATCTGTTTTCCCTTTAAACCACACCCAAAGTCAAGATTCCCAGGGACACTATCTTAGCCACTGATTTGCTTTTTCCATAAAATACAAGCCTTAAATTAATACTACCAACCTAACTTCCATAATTATTCTAACAACTGAGGATTACTATTTTGGAACTCTAATCTATAGGCTTATACAATCAAATTTACTGCCAACGGACATATTTACTGCCAACTTTCATTCATTCATCCATTTTGTTTTTGGTGGTACTGGTAACTGAACTCAGGGCCTCGACTGCTTGAGCCAGCCTCAAATGGCAATCCTTTCATATGCACTTCCCAAGCAAATGGCATTACAGGTGTGAACTCTATACCCAGTCCATATTTCTATCAGTGTAATGGTTAGGCATCCTTTTGTTTTCTATGTTTAAGGAACATTTGAAATTCTTTTGTCACAAACCATCTGCCACATATCTTGCCAATTTTCCTAAGTGGATAATTTATTTTCCATTTGTTGGAGATATTCTTTGTGATACAAAAAGTAAATACTCTTTTTTTTATTTCTCACTTAATTATTTCTCCTGCCTTACTGTGATTATAACTATAGTAGTTATTATCTTTATCAACAGTATTCTCATTTTTTGTATGGATTCTGAGTTATAATCAGGGTATTTATTTTACTGCCTGCTTCAGAAGAACTCATCAATTTTTCTTCCTAGAACTTAAAAATGTTTTCCTTTTTGTGTAGTTACTTAAAAATGTTTTCTTTTTTGTGTAGTATCTAACTCACTTGTAGTTTATCCTTGTCATAATATAATCAATAAATTCAGTTTTGTCTCCTTTGTTTTGTGGCGATCCTGGGGTCCTAAGGTCTGGGTTCAAACTCAAGGCCTGAGTGCTATCTCTAAGCTTTGTGCTCAAGGCCAGCAGTCTATCACTTGACTATAGCTCTGTCTTCAGCTTTTTGGTAGGTTTACTGGAGATAAGAGTCTCTCAGGCTTTCCTATCCAGGCTGGCTTTGAACCAACATTCTCAGATCTCAGCCTCTTGAGTAGCTAGTATTACAGGTGTAGATCACTGGCACATGGCCATTTGTCTATGCTAGGTATCTATATCATTTGCTTCTGCATTTTCTATTCAGTTCAATTAAGTCTATTAATTTAATTTTTAATTTGTGTGTGTGCATGCATGGATGCATGCATGCCAGTGCCAGGGCCTGAATTCTTGCTCTCAACATTGCTCATAGCTGATATTCTATCACTTGAGCCATGACTCTAGTTTGGTATTTTGCTGGTTATTGAAAATAGAGACTCACATAATTTTCTGTATGGGCTAGTTTTGAATCATTATCCTCTAGGATTCAGCCTCCTTAGTAGCTAGGATTACAAGCGTGAGACTTGGCTTTAATTTATCTTTTTAAACACCAATCAGAGGTTTAACTATACAAACTATGTGTCAGTAACTAGTAATATCATCTTCCTTCATGACTCTTCTTTTGAAGGTTTTCCTTATAATTCTTACTCATATGTTCTTTCTAATGAAATTTATAATGACCTTGTCTAACACCAAGAAAACAAACACATACACACATACACAATGATAACATTACAAATTAAGGGTACTGACAAATTTATGATTCTGAAACTAAAGTTAGGAAAAAAGGACTAAAAACTGGGGAAAGGGAACCTGAAAATGTTTCACTATTCGGTGCATATGAGAAGAAAAGACAAAGGCCGAACCCAGAAAAGTATGTTCTATTAATACAAAATATTTTTATCTAAACAAACTTATACCAACTAGCAAAGAAGTAGAACTTAGTTCATTTACATCACAAATTGTGCTATACAGCTGATAAGAGAAAAAGTGATCACAACATGAGTTATGGTATGTGTTTGTTGTTTTTAGGGCAGTGGCCACGAATCTGAAGTGATGCATTCATATATGATTAGGTGTTGCCATGTCAAATGCCAGGCTTTTTATATTGATTGAACATAAAGGTACATAAAGGTAAAAATATTGCATCTTCTGTCACCATACAGATGCAATAACTTGGGTCCTCATCATTTGGGGAAGTTTTTATTTTGTCATTAGGCCTCACTCCTTGCTATGAATATTCTGTGGGCTGTAATTATACTTTATTAACCAGTACTCTTGATTTGTTCCTTCCAATGGGTGTCACTCATCTCCAGAGTATAAAATTGTTTTTCTTTGTTTCCAGATGTGAAATCTGCATCTCCAAAATTAAAAACATTAATATGGGGAAAAAATGAAAAAAAGTGACCAAATAACAAATCATTTGTGTACTTGCTCACCTTCCTTCTTCAGCCATTTCACAATATTTCCTTGCTCCATTGTAGGAGACAAGGAGGGCATTAGTATCTTAATAGGCTCACCTGAAATTAAGAAAAAGAACAAATTAGCCACAACACACACAAAAAATGAACTCCAAGAAGCATCAGTAAGTAAGTTAATATTAAATGCTATGAAGAAAAAGGAGACTGCAAAGTCTACAAGTCCCAAATTGTAAACTATCCAGTACATACTATGGAAACATAAAAATTTCAACGGTTATTTTTTTTTAAACAAAACTCTCTTTAGGAATACTCTCAGCACCAGTTTTCTATGCAACGTTTCAAACCACTAGTTTCTAAAAATAAAAATAGAAAAAAATGAAATTTTGATTTAGGTTTCATCCTCTTCTTTCCCTTTTGTTTCCACAAGATAGATCAATAGATAAGATAGAAAGACAGAGAGCTAGTTAGATGGATGGACAGAATTTACAGGTAAAACAACCAAGAAAAGTCTAATTATGAAACAAAGAAACAACCATTCAAGTGTTCTGGTGATCTACTATAGAAAATTCAAGATCAGACTCTAAGAAATTGGTCACTTTTAAATTTTCTCTAATATTATACTATTCAATATTCAAAGGTTCCTGCTAGCTAAGTATCAATAGGAATATTTGATTTGTTCCCTGTAATCCAACTAGTCATGCAAAAGACACACCTCAAATCTGAGACAACTCTCACTGAAATGTAACTACTTTTCATTAGTCATCCAAAAAAGAAACACTCTATACTTAAAGCTCCTTCCTCTACTCTACTCTTCCTTGTGCCCTTTCAGAGATATTCATTGTCTAGGACTATACTCAAAGAGCACACAGCTTTTACATTATAATTTACCTAAAGTTATACTAGTAAATAGTGTATCAATAAATCACATTTCCTAAAGTCACTGAAAGGATATATTATTTTCTCACATTATTCAATTCTCAAGGCCCAGACAAGTAATTTACTGTAGTGTGGCTAATATATTTCAAAAGCATAGAAGGACAAAATGAGATTACTTTTTCTCCACTTAGTGTTTTAGGGTTAAAGGCAAGGAATTTAACAAACATGTTAATACTTCCTTTGAAAAATTTAACTATGAAAATTCCTGTGGTTACATGTTAAAGGCACATCCATTCCTTTTGAATAAGTGTAATCAAAAGAAAACTTCTGTCTGCTTTCCACTTGTCCTTCATGTTCATCTAAAGAACTGGGGAAAAACATTCAGAGCCTTGTCAACATTTTCTTCTAAGAGCTTCCTGTCCATAGGAAATGTGTGTTTTCTTCACCCCTGTTCCCTGAGCTGAATATCAATGAACCTGCCTTTCAAAGGCAGGTCTGCAGGCCCATCCCATTCTGTTCTATTAGGGCCCACTGAGTGTAGGCAGTAATCTGCACATTGGCGTTTGCCTTGTATACTTTCCTTCAACCAAAAAGCCCAAAGTCTAAATGAAGGATTTTTCTGAGAAGTCCAACCTAAAAAGGCCATAGTCCTAAAGCACATTCTCCAATCTGACCTAACCATCAGGATTTAGATGTAATTCAATTGCTCTCTGTCAATCTTTCTTTCTTTTTTTGGTGGTCATAGGGCTTGAAATCTGGGCCTGAGCCTGTCCCTCAGCTCTTCAGCTCAAGGCTAGTGCTCTACCATTTGAGCCACAGAACCACTTCTGGTTTTCTAGTGGTTCATTGGAGATAAGAGGCTCACGAACTACTTTCATGCCCGGGTGGCTTTGAACTGCAATCCTCAGATCTCAGCCTCCTGAGTAGCTAGGATTATAGGTGTGAGCCACTGGCACCTGGCAGAAATAGTTTTTTTATCTCACATTTTTCTTAGTAAAATAAACTCTTATGAACTACAACACTTATTTCAAGATATTAGAAAGAAAACACTGTAAAGCTGTATGTACAAACTCAATCTACTGCTATCTATAAAACATTGAAATATCAAATTATTGAATGAACTAGAATTAGAGAAATCCAAATGAAAATACTTGCCTAGAGAATGTATAGCCATTCAACATTTAACATTTATATTTTTAAGCTCACTATAACAAATGTTTTCTGAAAAATAAAAAAATAGAAAAAGACTAGACTGTTTCTGAAAAGCATAACTTAAACAAAAAGTCTTGCTTTGTTGCTCCTATCACAGCTCAAGCCCAGTATTATGAGACAGGATATTTCATAATTATATACATATTAAATCAACTTACCAAATAGAGTTCTACTTTAAAGAAGCAAAATAAATGGACCACATTGCTTCTCAATCTAGATTACAATTTATGACAAATACTAAATCAATTCTCTCAAAATGGATTCCCTTCAATATTTTTATATTTTGGTTCAGCTGCCATGATACAATTCATATTCATTTTATGAGTCTATCTTCATTATAATATCTCACCTGAGAGGGCTTCACATTCCCATTATTCCTGACATTAAGGATCATTTATGAAACCACTGCAGTTATTATTTTCTAAAGCACATCAAGGACGTCAAAATTTTTCATATTTTAAGAACAAAAAACCCATAATCATTCCTCATCCAGTCACCCTTCATGGATGAACTGAAATTGTTTTTGTGAATAACAATAATAAAATAAAATATCCTGTAATAGATCACTATCCTTACTCTGAAATGAAGGTGACAAAAAACAAAGAGAGATATTCCAGACATCTCCATTATTCAGTACTATTCCTTGATGGATGACACTAGGCTTATGATACTGGGCTTATTATGGAGAGTAAAATGTGCATTATGTTCTTTGATTACTAACTGATCAATCCTCAGACTTGCGTACTAGAAAAACCATTTCAAAAGAGTTAATAAGAGTATATTATTTCATTGTAGTATATCTTGTTTGGGTTGCAACATTATATACATCTTTTCCCAGTATATTTTTTTCTGATTAAAAAGTAAAATTATGTAATCATAAAACTTGCTCTGGGTGTCAGTGTTACACACAATATCTGTCCTTTATGATAGCTACAACTCCTATTAACACAGTGTAGACTTTCCTTCTTAAATGGGATCAATCTACACCTCTATCATTTCATTTTCATTAGAAATTAATTTCTTCCTTCATTCCAGAGAGCAGCATGTCCCACAACTCTCCCAAACAGACAAGGCCTTGAAATGTGCACTGATTATATCTCCTACTAATGTCAACTGGCACAACCATGGGTAAGAATTAAAGTAAGGCAAAAAGGAAATGAGGTTTTTGATCAATTAGATATATGCTATTTCAAGTAGTACTAAAAATGTAAAGATGACCATGGATAGTAATACATATTTCTAGACGATAGTACTTAAACACACTTTAAAAAGTAAAACTACCTAAAAACCATGAGAACTGTCTTAACCTCTTTTGCCTGAGCAGAATGACATAGATTACAGTAGCTAGCTGAGCTTGTGGCTCATACCATGAGAACTGTCTTAACCTCTTTTGCCTGAGCAGAATGACATAGATTACAGTAGCTGGCTGAGCTTGTGGCTCATACCTGGAATCTTAGCTACTTGGAAGGCAGAGACAAAGTAAGCCTAGCAAAAAGATTTCAAGACTTCATCTTGATAATAAAATGTTAGACATGGGGCTGCCTAGATTTGATTTCTCAGTACCCCATAAGCAGAAAAAGCCAGAAGTAGAGCTGTGGCTCAAGTGGTAGAGTGTTAGCCTTGAGCTCAAGAGCTGAGGGACAGCGCCCAGGCCAAGTTCAGGCCTCATGACCAATTAAAAAAAAAAAATTGGACATGGTGGCATGTACCTGAGAGGTCAGCTATGCAAGAAGTATAAATAGGAGAATCACAATCCATGTTGGCCCAAGCATAAATGTAAGACCTTATCTGAAAAGTACCTTACCTGGAGGCATGAATGACTTACTTAGTAAAGTACCTGCCTAGCAAGTATAAAGCCTGGAGTTCAAATCCCAGTACCACCCACTAAATATGACAATTGTTTTTCTGTCTAAAAGCAACATAAGCAAATCTATAACTAAATGTTATAGTCACTTAATTTCTAAATTTCTTCAGATCTGTCCTTTCAATTTTCTCACAGGATAATTCTGACTTTAAAAAATGGTACATGAATTCTAATTTCATGTGCCATAAAGTATTTTTCTTTTCTCTAGGAACAAAACAATTATATTTCGGCAAAACCAATTATATTAGAGTTCAACTTATGACATATAAATAAATTCTGAGAATTGGATTAAGAAGGAAATAAACACAAGCAAACCCTTACACTATTAACTGCTTTGTGGCTCATAGGAAGCAGATCTTAGCTGCATGACTATAGGAATTAAGAAACTCAACAGTGGGGGGGGGAGCAGGGAGGATTGGGTGGGGGGACAAGGGGAGGATGGGAAGGGATGGGAAGGGGAAACAAAGGAGGAGGCTACAATGCTTGATAAGAAATGTACTCATTATCTTGCCCATGTAATTGTAACCCCTCTGTACAGTATTTTCACAATAAAAAAAAAAAGAAACTCAAGAGTTTACACATGGTACAGCTGAAGCATCATGTTCTAGCCCATTATGCACTATACCTAAAGCACACAAGAATCATGAAGATAGAGCAAATGAAGAAGTAAATCAACAACCAATACTCTTAGAGTAACATTAACTTGCTTCTTCTCAAATAAAGAAAGAAGTTAGTCAGGCTTCCTCCACTGCAAAGAATAAACTAAGCCTTTAAAATAAAACAATTCTGCCATCTTCTGGCTGAATGAAATAAAGCAAAATGATTTAAAAGTCAGCACCAGCTTTAAACAGACTGCTACCACATTTTTAATGAGTTTTCTCATGTAATTTTCTTCGTTCCAAGTTTTTTTTTTCTTTTGGTTTGGTATTGGTATAAAATAAATTGAAAATGCTTAAGACCACAATAGAAATGAATGTATGAGAATTTGTATAAAAATATCATTTGTAGGCCCTGCTTGGCATGTTAACAAACAAAATATAACTTACAAACATATTGCCTAGGTTCAAGTTGTAGCTCTACCATATACATGTTAATTATTCTGTGCCTCAGTTTCCTCTTCTATAAAAAAGGTAATATGAACAGATTT